GGAGGGGGTCATGCCTAGTGCCAGTGTGTGGATCCAGCTGTATGATGCTACCACTTTGCGAATCAGAGCGCAATGACGTCAACCAGTGGCGTTCTTATTTATTTTTATTTTATTTAACGATTTCAGTTGCTCGGATAATTTCTCGTCGAATGATAGGATAACCTTTTTAAGGTATTTCCCAGAGGGACTGAGGAAAACCACAATAAACCTTGGCAGGACAATGGGTCGCCATGTAGATATTTGAACCCGGGACCTCCATTATACAATGCAAAATTATTCAGCTGCTACGATGTTTAGTGACGTACTTACTGAGTAGTGGAAGTGACTTGGAATCCTAAACATTGAATCCTGTTCTTTCATGCAGGTATGAAACATCCTCCTTCTAAGAGGAAAACGTACACACGGTGAATGACAGCAAAGTGCAGAAGAGAATTATTAGGACGTAGGGACGCGGAAGAAAATCAAAGCCAAAGAGAATTGCACAATGGGGAGATTCATCACCAATCAAGGAGGATGAGATAGACAAGCATATAGCATGCATGGGGACATAAGAAATACATACGGAGTTTAAGTTGTAAACTAATGTAAATGGGAGGGGTCTTATAAAAATAAGTTTTGCAGCCATGATCCAGGTTAAAATGGTTTGTAACAGGGTCCGGATGTTGGTTTCTTTGAATTTTGAACCTTTGGGCTCTTTAAAAGCAGGTAATTTTTTAGCCAGCTGAATAAGTATCAAGTATTGTACTAAGGTAACTGATATGTATATAAATACGAACTGAGGGTATGATAATGTACTGCTTTGTCAGGACCATCACACACCTCATAAGTCAGTTACAGATAAATATGGAGCAGTGGTGGAATGATGATAGCACGGACAACCAAAGAAATCGGAGAATAACCTCCTTCATTGAATACAAATACCAATGAGAGATACAAAACTGCAAACATCACATTTCAAAACATTCTTGCACACACTGAAGTACAAATTTTTGCTGCTGTTTTCAGTGATTTGTATAGCCTTCCTTTCCATGCCTGTGCGTGTATGTCCATCTTAAAAATGTTTAACCAAGTAACTTATTTTAATGTACCTTAGTAGAGATGTTATGTTGTTAGAGACCACTTTCCACTTTTACCTTTCAGTCTCCTAGTAGAATCAGTAACAGTAATGTGGCGTTTACACCGACTTCTGAGGTTCCATGTGTTGTATGCTCCAAAGAACTTATATAGTAAAATGTTTTCAAGAAATATGAAACTTTTAAGAACTATGTTCTGTTTGTTAAAACTTACAAAAATGTTGATGGAGCAAAGGTCTGTTGTTGTGTTACAAGTTTCAGGCAGATGCCTGCACTAATGACCTATGAGCTCAGAAGTGACTCACAGGTATGTTATTATTAACTTGCAGTTCCTGTGGGAACTTATGAGTTCATAGCTTCTTTATTGTATAGTGGAAGAACTGCAGTGCCTTGCCACATGGAAGGAAGGTTCATCACGCTATCTGGTGGGTAAAATCCACCATAACCATGCCACTTCAAATGAGGACCGCTACAGATGCTTTGTGTATGAGAAGTCAACTCTACCTGGAGTTTCTGGGACTGGAGAACTGAATGGGGAGGGCTTGTATCACCCTCTGGAGATGAGGAATGATGGTGTCGACTACCGAGTGGCCCAGTCAGGGGATGCCACATGCAATGGGCTCTTCAGCCCCATGGAGGGGTCACGGACTATGACTCTCCGGAAGGGTGTGCACTGTTGTTTTGTTGTTATTATTGCTATCAAATTATAATTTAAAATTTGTTTTGTATCTAAAAGCTTGATATGGAAACTTTATCCGAGGCCTGTAAACAGTGCCCAAAAATGTCTCAGAAAATTGCATGTCAAGAGAAAATAGTTTTTTGTGTTTCATAGACAAGGTTCTGTTTTAAATTGAATCTGCGGTCCCACAGATCAAGAGTAGTTCAATCTGCCACATCCGACAGAAAAGTTCCTCTCTCCTCCCCATCTTTGACACTCGAAGTTGAATAAATATCCATCCATCAGTACCTTTGCATCTGATCATTATGATAAAATGATGGTGGATAAAGTTCAAAACAAAGTAATTAGCTGATCTTTGTTTAGTTAGCAGTATTTCCTCCACACCAGATTTAATGATAATATTGCCAATACTTTATTATGAGAGATTAATTTTTGAATATGGGGTGACATGTGATTGTGATGATATTAAAGCAGGATAACCTTTTTTGGGCTTCCAATGCCATGTGCTGCTCTTCAGAAGAAGTATTAAGTATATCCTTATTTCTGCTTTCTTCTGAAAACTTCCCCATTTCTGGTGTGATAACTAGAGCCATGAAACTAAATTTTGCTGTTGCAGCTGCATCCCCCAGCAAGTGTAAGTTCCCATTGTGGCTGACAGCATTCCAACATTGGCATACGTTGGACTATCGACGCTCCTACTCGTTCCACAAGCACAACACTACACTCAGGATTACCAACACAACAGCACAGCCAGGGGCCAACCAGCATGCAAGTAGTGGCGGCACTGTTCAGGGGTACGTAACTTGCATTACAATATATAGTCTAATCGATCCATGGTGGTAAAAGTAAGGTGAGTTGATGCACAGCTTGTGTGATGTGGAATGTGATCATCTTCCACCATACAAATGAATCAGCTCAAGAATTGATAAATAACCCAGTAGTAATTACATTTAATATTGGAGAATTTTACAAAAGAATTGTTGAACCTTATCAATTTTCATTTATGTCAGATAATTTAACAACCACTTTATGTAAGATCAATAGTGCTTTTATGACCTTATCCAAAATACTTGTAGAAGAGTTGCATAAACTATTAATTTTTCTTACTTGGATAAAAATTCAATACAGAATTTTTTAATTCAAATGTATCATTATGATCAAAGACAATGTGATGTGCAGTTCAGTTTCCATCTTTCATTTGCTGACACCTTTATTTTCCCCTACAAATAGGTCTTCCAAGGTATATGCTGTTTGTATGTTCCTTGATGTCTCCTTTTTGTCTTTATTCATACTGCTGTTTCAGATACCATAACAGTCATGGGGTAGTCATGTCTCTGGGTCTGACAGGTGATGTCAGTAGCAACCACCAGCATCAGGAGATGCGAGTTGTGTGCACTGAAGTGAAGCATGCCTCCCACGATATAGTGCACCTTGTCACACACTTCACCATGGGTTGGTGAGTCATGTGCATGTGAACACCCTATGTCATCCAACTGTTTAGCAACTTGAGCTTTTCTTTTGTTATTATGAACATAATGCTTTAGTAAAATATTTACAGCTATGTTTGTTCCACTCACCTTCTGTTCTCCAAATTATTTGGTTTTGGTGGTGGTGTTGATGGCAGTGGCAGTCATTTAAACACTAATTATCCACATTTGTCAAACCAGATTAGCATAACAATGTCTCCTGTAAGTCGGCTATTTAGGTAATACGCTCATCTGGCATGATTCCCTCAATGTGTAGTACAACTTTAAGCCCAGGCTGAGGGAATTTTGGTGGCTGCAGTTTCCCTTTTTCAACTTCCCCCAGCCATTGTTAAGCCAGTCACAGCAGTTGGTTTATTAGGGGATGTGCAGCTAAATGATCTCCAAACATCCCTCATCCTCTCATTTAAACACAGCCCGCATCTCTCTCAAGAAAGTGAAAACAGTTTTGAGGGGTCCTGGCCTAGTGACTGTTCTGACAAATTGGGTTTCTTTGCATTTCTGTAGACGTAAATGTTTCATGACTTCTTCAGATATTACATTTATCATTGTTATGACAATGAACGCTTAATTTCAGAAACTGACTCAGGATTCATGACAGGTTCTTGTGATGAGCCTTAGATGGAGGAGTAGGGATAGATTCCCAGAAGTGGCACAGATTTTCTCTTCATCATCACTGTACCCAGATAATGTTTGGTGTCCATACAATAGGTACTGGTGCTTCTTTCCTCAGGGATAAATTGGTCAGAGCAGGACACTAACCACTTATCTCCATAAAATTCTGGGGTTAAGAATATGTGGAGCATTACATTCACTGGCCCCATACATCATTTCATGATGGTTAGGTACAGGGATAACTTTGTTCCATACCACTTTTATTTTGACAACCAGTAGAACCCCTTCAATGGTAGACCAGTCCATCCGGGTCTCATCTTTCACAGAACACTGAAAAAACAGACATTCATAGTGCAGGCATTATTTGAACCTGTGATCCACATGATTCAAGTGACCATTACATCCCTTCACACATTGCTACTTTCAATAATTTGTGTGTTGCAGCCAGAGTGGTTATGTCTGTATGATGTTCTATCGGAGGGATGGCCACGTTATAGAAGTGCAGACAGGTATAGTATGCCTTTTGTTTTAGTAAATTAGTTTCACCAAGAGTCAAAAATAAAAAAAATTTGGGAACGACTACACTTTTGTGAAGTTTGTAAACATATTCATACATTCTCTGCAAAAAGAGTGTGAAATTAATGCATAATGGTGTGATTATACATATCTTTCCATCTGCATATTTTCTCTCTGGAACTGCTTAATTGATTACAGTTAAATATGGTATAACTGGCTTGAAACTAAATGGTACTTTAGCTTTCATGTTTCTGGAACTGTAGGTGGGTAGAAACCAGCCTTGGTGAGGAAGACATTCAAATTTGATACTATAATCTGAGGACACTGTGTTTCAGGTTCCCACACAAGGAGGCCAGAGGATGCATGTCAGTCCATGCACTTTGACAGGAACACTTTGCCATTTATTACATTAGTCAGTGAGTATATGGCTTTCAGTTGTGACCATAATGTCAGTGTGAGTATGGCCATATAGCTTGAAGCACAAAATCACCATACAACAGGATTAACCAATTTTAGTTTAAAAACCCGGTGCACACCATTGTGTAAAGATTGAATACATATTTATGAGTTTTAAATACACAAATGATTGCATTAGCTAAGCTGCACATGTAGTTATTAAACACACTGGTCATTGTGGAAGCAGCCACACATCATCATTCTGAACTAATTCCACAGAATGACTGAATGATTTTATTGTTCTACAAACACAACCACTAGGTACTCTGTATGTTTGTGTCAGTTAGATTAAACACATTGTGAAAATAAAACACAGTAACTCTTTCTGGATACCTGTATTGCTAACCTGGCTTGCTTAACCTTCTCAGACTAAGGCTACCTAAGGGAAAGAAGTGTTACCTTGAAAGAGACACAACACATCTACGAAACAAAGACGATTCAGTTTATGTGGTTCAAAGCAATAATCGTTGTTTATTCACAGAATCATCTTGAAACCCATAAATACAATATTTGAGCAAAATGTAGAGTTTGTGAATGATAAAGTTTGTGGTTTTTGTAACTATTTCTGTCACCTTCCACTTACCATAAGTATTTTTTTATCTGTTATAGTGAGCCTGATGATAATCTGAAAGCATCAGGCATTTCTCAGTTCTTGCAGTTAATAGAAGGAATACACTTTCCATGGGTCACTTCAGTTTCTCTCCCTTTTTTGTATAATTCAGAATTTGCACACATGAACATTAATGTTGCCTTCATAAGCCTCACAGCATGAACTGTATATGCAAGAAGTAGGATACAATTAGAGTTTAAATAGGTCTAATCCTTTCTCATAATCTTTTCCAGCCTCACGACCAGAGCCCAGACAGTGCCCCTATTTGGGCAAATTCAGTGTCACCGGACTCAGCCGAGATGATGGATTTGTGAGGTCTGCAAGACAAAAGAGGTCAGAGAAGTCACAATTACATCAAACACAAGGTGTCCTCAGCGCAAAATCACAGAGCAATGTAAGAGGTGGATCATACCCATACAAAGAATTTGATTTTAGAAGACGAGTCAAGACTGTTTATCGGAGCCCTGAAATGCTGACCCGCAGTGTGAGATCCATAGAATGGTACATGCGGGCTAGTGGCTTTCGGAGGTCTTCACGTGACCTGGATGGCCTTGTGCCTGATCCCTGTGCTGAGGAGGATGACTTCACAACTCTGGTGGTGGGCTGCAGTACTATGGACACAATGGAGTTCCATTCTGAGTGTACATCAGCTGATGTAGTTTCAGGTATGGTTAGAATATATGAGAGTTTGTGGATTTGCATTTAGTAAGTGTAATTAACAGAACCTAGTTTCCAGTAGCATTCCAGATATTCTCACTACAATTTGATAATGCAAATACAATGGTTCCATGAAAATCACTGTCAACTGAGATGATCATTAATTATGGAGACTAAGTTTTATCATAAACATGCCATTAATCTAGAATGTATTTTCAGTATTTCACCTTTGTAACTAATAACTTCTCAATATCTGAATAACTTGATAACTTTTATTTTAAAATGAACACTCAGCTCAGATCCTGTGTAATCTACAGATGTGCAGTAGTTTGGCCTCACCTGCAAAAAGAGACTGGGACCACTCTTTAATTGAGCTAATAATAATCACATTACTCTTGTGTTTAAATGCAAAATTTTAACTTATATTTTCTAACAGTTTATTCCTGTCATGGGCGCTGGGAGGATAATGGAACCCACTATCTTATCACAACTCCACTAAGTCGATCATCTAGGGGGCCTCGCCGATACTGCTTCATGTATCGAGAGGCACAGGATGGGGTGGTTCACTTCTCAAGCAGTTCAGACAGTTGTAGGCGCAACATCAGCCCCGGCATCAGTGGTGTAATGGCATTCAATGTGACGAGCACTGGTAAGCTGACTGCTAGGTTCAGTCTCGTATTTTTGTTACAGCATTAAATTTGATTGCCCTCAGGTGTAGAACCCTCAAAAATATTTGTTCTAGAAAGTTTATATATATATATATATACACACACACACACACACACACACACACACACACACACACACACACACACACACACACACACACACACACACACACACACACACACACACACACACACACACACACACACACACACACACACACACACACACACACACACACACATACATACACACATATATATATACATACACATATATATACACACACACACACACACTTATATATATCCCCTACTGTGGAAATTAAAGTAGTAATCTATCCTCAGTTTCACTCCTTGGGAAAGTCCTACAAACAAAACATATTATTTTACTCTAGATCACTGATTAATGCCATTCCTTCACTCCCCAGGCTCATCACTTGCATATACTGTTACTTCCTTATAGCAAAGAATCATGGTGATTCATTAAAGTAGCTATCTCATCATCATCAAACAGTCAAGGAATTTGGTCATGGTGACCTGTTCTGGCCTCATAGTCTAAAAATCTCTTCTGCGGTCTTCCAGGGTTTCTTCATCCACATGGTGTATAGTTTTTTAATAATTTGGGAAGTCTGTCTCTCCATATTCTGTTAACATGTTGAAGCCAATTGATTTTATATTTAAAAATTTTGTGCCGGTCCCCAAACCTCTGATGCACTACCACTCCCTTGAACCGGCCCGCCTTTCGTAGTGCCAGGCCTTGTTGTTAGGAAGAGGCGAGTACAGCTGGAGGTTCAAGGCCTGGTAGTGGGAAGGTTTTTCCACAGTACCTTTATTATATTTAAATTTTTTATAATTCATTACTAGAGAGCATTATTAAGAAAAATTTTGTTCCCTTACGAGATAAAGCAAGCATAGCAGATGCGTTAAAGTCTTAAAAAAATGAAGCCATTAAGACTTTAATTCATCTACTATGCTTGTATTATTTTTGTTGTGTTTTTGGGAAGTCACAATAAAGTTGCAATCATTTTTAAAGAGCATTTATATGAAGATTGATAGCTTATTTGTCTTTGTGCTGTCTGTAAAAATCACTACACTTCATAGCCATCTAACATAAAAGTGACAGTTAAATAAGTGAAAGTGCTCAAACACTGTACAATATGGCAGTAAGCCCCACAATTCTTATGGCCTGCAATATGTGTGATGGTCTTTCACTTCTTGGCATGTGTAATTTCAGTAGTATACTATGTGTAGGTACAACTAGGCTGACATGATATAACTAAAGGGTTCTAACAATTGTACATTATGTTCAATATTACTGATTTTTTTGGACGTAATCCATCATTTAATATCCTAAGACAAGACCACTATATTTATAAGCTAGCTCTGCTCCTATCTTCAAGTGAAAATTCTATTCTGGTAAATCTGATAGAAAGGGTCATTCCCAATCGCTGGAATAGGATTTTCACTTACAGGTAGGAGCAGAGTGAGCTCCCAAAGCATGGTGGTCTTCTCTTAGAATATTAAATTATGTATGAAGTTCAGAAAACAGCAATATTGAACTTACGAAAATTCAGTTTTCCCATGTCGAACTTGTAGTTAACAAGAATATCTTGTTGACAGCTATCAGCCTGGATACCATCAGACTTGAATGAGACTTTACTTGATTTTCCTCAATGACTCCAGACAAATTCTGGGAAAGTAACCTTACAATGGCACAACCACTTCCTTACACATTTCTCAGTTCTTCATCCAGAATCATCCTCTGATGCATTGCTGGAGAACGTATGTAGTTCAAAAAGCATCAGTAAATAAACTATTAAACATCCTGAGGTCAGCCTTCAGTAACTCCTATGTTCTTCAATTTTATCCTCAGGTTGGAAAACTTTTACAGCTCTGCTCCTAATTGTGACAGAATGAGAAAATGTTCTTCCATTCAGCACATATCTTAGTATGAGAACTGTTCTGTCATAATTGCAATATGTGAAGCCTAATGTCTTGGAAACTTAAAATGATCTATGTAAACAATGTGTTCATAACATCTTGTTTGCTTCATGTTCAGGACAGTGTATTGAGACAAATGGAGCCCCACAGCTGACCACAATGTACCTACCAGCCACAATCGCTATTCTGGCAGTTGTGTTGGAGACTTTACTGAAGCTGCTGAGTCATGTTGAGAGATGATCACAGTTCTCTTGACTAGCGCTCAAAGTTGCCTCAACTTGGGATGACCCACATGTACATATGTAAGCATGCCAGAGTTGTGAGACCCCATGCACAAGCAATCAATAAGTCTGTAAATATTATGAGTACAAACATGAAGTTACTGCAGGGAGAAGTCCACAAGAGTATGACATGAATGTTGTCAAGAATGAAGCTCTATTGTGATTGATTCAGTGGAATGGTCCCAAATATTAATGAATAACAGAGAAATGGAATTTTTACTTGTAATGAAATTGTATCAGATATTTTGACAATCTGCCTTCTTGTCAGGGTGTTCAGGTGAGACCCAGTGTATGCAGTTATAATGAGAACTGGATGGGGCTCAACTGTGATTTCATGCAAAACATTTAAACACTCCAGATCCCTCGGTTTTTACTTCAGCACATGCATTAATTTCTTTTCACAGAAACCATACCGGAATATCTGAATGACTGCCAATTAGCTTGATTTGTTTTGTACAGTCTGGTAATGTTTAAATGTTCTATATTGACTACAGCATTGTTTAAACAGCCCATCCGTAATATGGGACATTCCTTTAGAAGTCCTTCAGTTACATGATGAATCAGCAAAGGCATGTGTATATACGTTTGTAATATTTATACTGTGTGTCCGCTTTCACTTACAGTAAAACCTTGTTGCTACAAACCTGAGCGAAACCTAACAAAGATCCCTGATAACTATGTGCAAACCTTGCAGCTTCTTATTTAGATGCTGTATATCTATTCGCAGTTTTCAGTGCTTAAATTTGTAAGAGTTAGTTAGAAATGTTTAAATTAATCAATTTAACTTTCTTGACATTAATATGTTAGAATATACTTCATACATTGATGTTAGAAGGTTTGAAAATAATCTGTCACTGCTCTTGCTTTTGACAGATGTCATTAAAGTGACTGACATGAACAAAGGTAGGTGGTGTGCAGAGAGAGAGAAATTGCAATGTTTTGCTCAGTAATAATTTTTTGCATGCTTTCAATGCTGTGCACATCAGCCGTACATTCTTGCACTTTTGCAACATCATGGACCAGCATATCAGTGTCTGTTTCACATTGAAGTAAATGAATACTTTATATGGGCAAAAAAATTCTAGGTGACTAGGATGCAAGAAGTGGCCAAAAGTGTATAAACCACTCACTATGAAATGGAATGAATACTTTATACATCAGCTCTCTAGCTTGTCTGTGTGGAAATTGCTACCTGTGACATTCACCTTCCACATTTTAATACACCAGCTGTAGATTAATGCTAATTAGGCCGAGGCTTGACTTCGGGCTGTCGCGCAATAGAAGAAGATTAATGCTGAATATCAAATTTACTTTATGTAAACATGACATTCACACAATATACCATAAACACAATATTCACTTGTAACATGAACAACACTACTACATGAGTGAGCGTATAGCAGGTGACTGGTTCACAAAAGCATTTGATGGTAGTTTTGCAAAAGTATCCAAAACTCAGCTGTCATTGTTCATGTCACACATTTTAACAGTTATGTTACTCGGGGCTGTAGCATACACAACACATCAGTCCATGTGACATTTGAATGAACAAAAGTACAGGTATTTCTTAAGAGTTTTTATTTGTCCCATCTTTTGTCACTCATTCCAACATTTTCTTAATTTTTCTTCATAGTTGTTAAGCAACTATAGTCTTACATTTTAGAAACCCACTGACCAACATTTTTCTTCTTAAGACCGAAGGCTTTGATAATCTTCTTACTGGTCAATTATGCTTATCTCATATACGTTATATTTTGCTTATTTTATGGATGATATAATTTAAATGCAGGCTTCTTGCATACTTAACCTCTTTCTGAGGAGAAGAGAGTTGTTCATCAGAGAAAAGTAAATGTCTCCAAAAGTTTGTCTCAGTACCATGCAATAACTTATAATGCAGTTAAAAATAATGCTAATTTCAGAATAATAACAAAAGAGTGTCTTGTGGACATATTTTGCACAAAGCAAAATTAGAATAGGTGATCATGTGGTGAAGGTTTTATATAAAGCAATATCGTAACAATGAGGTTTTACTGTACTTCGGTGCACCTGTGTAGCTGACAAGCAAGGTAAGTGCTGTGAATACTGTCATAATTTTACCTTGGTATGGATGAGTGATTTCTTGTTAGAAACCACGAACTAACTTGGAAGAAGTGTGTCACGTCAGCACTTGCATAGGATTAATGGAAGCAGGTTGGCCGACAGTGGGGGCTGCATTCACAAGTCCTTGCTGAAGTTGAAGGAAAAGAAAAGGCTTATAAAGGAATCCATTGTGCTCTGCTGGTCTTCAGCCACAGAATTTCAGCATCTTATCCAATACCACCAGGTTCCAAGTTTCTGAAACTCTTCAGTCCTCACCATTCTAAACCTTTGAGGTGTGGAAATTTTCTTAAATACTGTAATTGACAGTAAAAAGAAAACTAAATTGTGGTATTCTTAAAAGTGGATCTTTTACATTACAAAAATGTCAGCTACCTTCTTTACTGAAGTAAGACAATTTTGAAAGTAACGTATAATTTTATCTTTCATTATCACCCTGAATTTTATATTTAGAACCTCTCATTGTGATTTTGGTGTGGGGAAACTTGCTGTTAGCAATTTGGTTCCAGTGTCAGAAATATTGCCAGTTCAGAATTACTGTAAATCCTCTAATTATAAATCCAAGATGAAAACAGTTCACAAAATATATGAGAACCATGCTACATACCAAACGTCACATTTATATTGTTAGCACTACTGCTTTTTATTTTGGAAGTTCTGGAATCAGAGCTCTGCCCTAGATATATTTAGGTGTACTGCAATTTCACCAGTCCCACAAGGGGAATGTTGGGACTGTACCTTAGAGTATGAAAAATCTACCATTCATTGCTATTTAACCTATGCAGTTGGAGAAGCATTGTTAACTACCATAATAATTTTTTTGTTATAAGAATGAATAAGTTTGAAGCTGCAAGGAAACATGCCTGGTTTACAACTTTTAAGAAACAGCTGACGTGTCATACTTCTGTCTTAGGCTCATGTTTTAATCAGTGTTTTTGTTGAAAATATTTAGTGAGGATGATTTTGTAAGTTAGTGCAGATCACTTAAATGGAGTGGTATATGGGTGTTTTTCAGAGTAGATGATCAGAAGACAAGTAAATGAAAGAATGCTACAGCTCAGGTGTGAGTTGAACAGTTGAGTGTGACCTCCCTCATCCTGGACAATTGTTGTAACAAGTCTGGGTAGCTACAACCCAGTTACATCCCAACCAAGGTGAATGGTTATGTTGCATATACAGAACATGTTGCTGTGTGACCTTGCTGTTTTGTTTATTAGCCAGAGACTTGAGTGCTGTCATGGGCTAGATAATCACTGGCCATTGTTACAGTATACCTTAATTTTCAGCAATGATGTACAGAGTGATCAAAAAGTCATCCTGATGCTAATATGATTTTACATGTATAAAAAATTATAGTTATGATTGTCTTTTTCCAGTTTTTGCACAATGTATATATGATAAGAATGAAACTTGATTGCCTTATATACCTTCCATATGACTTTTCACAGAGCATACTCTTTCAGATATATTCATAGAAATCATGACAAACTTTCATGGATGTTTCTAACAAATCTATCACTTGACTCTGAAGTGCGTCAGGAACACTTATTCTTCACACTTCCTGTGTCACAAAAACATTTAATTAAATGAAATAATATTAATTTATCCAGCACATGTAAACCTGGAAATTCTTGCGCAAAGTCACTCTGGCAGGCTAAGCAAGAATGCAGTTTTAGGTCACAATGTTTGACAGTAAATATGCACTGTGCTTGTGTAAAAGACATCCTCACTCTTCAGCTTCTCACATAGTAGTGCAAGCCATGAACAATTCTGACACATTACAACTTGTGTGGGGTTATGTATAAGTAATGCTACAGACAGCAGGGTTTAGCGCTCTTTCAAGCCATTTATAATTGCTTTTGTAATAGACTACATGGTTTTTTCCATCACTCTGTACATTTTGGCAGCTCAGGCACACCTTCAATTAGATACATGGATGCCATTTGTGCCATTTACCACAACTTTCATTCCAGTGGTGTTATTGGACTAAATATTTAGTGATGTACAAGAATCCAAACGTTACTATCCAGGTCTTCAAGAAAACTTTCAGGCATTTTGAAGGTTATGAACACACAATATTTTTGGTATACATATAAAAAACAACCTAATTTAGGAAGCTGTTGAATAAATTAACACATTCAATAGAAATTATTTAATTCAAGCCCAGTGCATAATTTTAATATATACATTAATGTAACTAGTGTGTGTCATGAAGTAAATCTCAACTAGATTCCAAAATTACCGATGACAGAATCTTTTGTGACCTGGTTGTACCGGTGCCTGTATTGTTGATGTATTTTGAATTTGTATCCAGACAAAGCAATTGGTTTCAAAGCTTTTATTGGACATAAAAGGATTCTGAAAGTCCTTTAGAACTCTTGTACTGATCTTCTAGTGTGTGACTCAGTCATGACCAACAGTATGACAATCATATGATTATAGAAACAGGTGCGGTAGGACAGGCTAGTCTTGATAATTTAACAGAGAAAACAAATGCATTATTGCAAAGGCCACACCTTCATAAGGGGCAGTGTGTTATGTTAACAGAATGTGTATCTTCTGAGTATGATTATGGAGACAGCCTGAGAGTTGATTCACATGAGGATGATGAAAATAACATATTCATAGCATCATAATATATGTGTTTAAAGTAAAATAAGATAAGAAATGTGAAAAACTTAATGCCATATGTTGGAGAACCTATATTTTGTGTCCTGCAACAGAATGTCCCAGCTTAACTACAAGCTCTTGGGGTCATTTTGAACCAAAAATTTCAAATAAACATGGGTCCGATCTGCAACGATTTGTCAAAAAAATGGGAATAAGCATTTTATTGCATTTGCAACTTTTACGTTACTTCCTTTTAATTTTAGGTTAAATTATCGTTATTATTTAGACCACACTAAATTCCATTTTAAATTACGTTATTAAGTGACTCAAAATGGACACCTTGATTGTCGATGCACAGTTGAGCCCTTCGTGTAATTGAAATAATAGCCCTCTTCACAGTCATGATCATTTTTGACGTTAGCACCGGATTTCATTATTCGATTCAGCAGCTCAGGCCTATTGTTTGATTTGATGGCATACACCAAGGATTTCATGTGACCCAGAGAAAGTAGTCCAGAGGCGAAAGATCTGGTGACCTCGCTTGCTAAACAACTGGACCACCTCAGCCAAACGGTCTGGAAACTGTTGATTAAGAGATGCAGTCACCTGCCTACCAAATTGAGGATGTGCGCCATCTCTTAACTGGTTAGCAGACGAGCATCTTCCAATATCAATAGGTGCTCTAAGTAGCACTGAGATGTCACGCAGTCTACAAGCACTGACTGCCCTGTGTGTCGTGTACGTGCGCCATATGCACAGATCAGCAGATTAATCAACTAATTTCTCAAAGGCACGCAATGCATATTGAGTGCGGAGTATTTTCATGACAAATCTTTGTAGTTTGGACCCACGTTTATTTGAACTTTTTTTGACTCAAAATGATCCCAAAAGCACGAAGTTAAGCACTGAAAATTCTGTTGCAGGACATCCCGTATACTCTGTATTTCAAATGGGGAGGAAACATTCAATCAACCAGTTTTGCTGTTTAATATTGATAAAGGTAACAAACAGTTCATCCATCTTTGATGTTAACAGATTCTTTGCCATGGTAACAAGGTAGAAATGCATTACAAATAAGGCAATAATCTGTAAATATTACCTTTTGGAGTCTTCAAATTTATAACAACAGGAGTGAGCACTTTCTTTTTCCTGTTAAACATTATCATCATGACTTACTCATTATCTAGCATGCTACTAAACACTAGAGTTAAAGTCTAATTATTAGCATCTTAGTGTGGGGGTTTAAATCCCCTGTTCCAGGATGGTAAAATTTAATAATGTTACCTTTTGGTTTTATGATTTGCATATAAGCAGTCTGCACTGATTACAAGAAAACAATGTGTATGAATTTGAAAATATAATCTAAAACCTTATGAGATTTTTTGCCAAGCACTTGCAAAAGTAGATTTTATTTTCTAAATAAAAGTGTTTCATTTGTGTTGAAGCTTGCTGGTTGTCTTTTTCAGTTATATCTTAAGAAAAGTAACCTTCACTCTTTTGATTTTACTTTCTTGGCAGATTTTTGTTTCTTCTATAAGTTGTTTAAAGTCTGTATTTATTAACAATTTGATAATGTTTTATGCTTTTGATGCCAAAACTGCTGTATCATGAGAGGAACATACAGTCCTGAAGGTTTTATGCCAGAACACTGCATAATCACTAGAAGATGTGGGATAAATCTTTCCAGGATATGTCTTTTGTAATAATTTTAAAATATGTGTTGTTTTCTGGGATATTGTACCATTCTTGAAGAAAGTGACCACTATTTCTGAGGTTCTTACTGCCTCTATCATTAGAACCAGACTACATGGCACAGCATCCCATAAGACATTCATGTTCATATTCACTACCATGAGAACCTGAAATCTCAGTATACTGTTTTCTGATTAGTAACTGGTAACTAAGATATTGTAGGTGCGTCATATTGTGATTTTATTTAAAAATAGTATTAAAATATATTAAAATTGTCCGTCAATCACAATAAAGTAATATAAGATAATTAAATGGTTAAAATATTATCTTTTGTTTCGTATCGAGAATGTTCCATATGTAAATCGAGTACTCGATACGGAACAAAAGATAATATTTTAACCATTTAATTATCTTATATTACTTTATTGTGATTGACGGACAATTTTAATATATTTTAATACTATTTTTAACTGGTAACTAGTTACACCCTGTTTTTTTATGTTCCTGTTATTTAGTAAAATCTGTACAAATTATTTGTAGACCAAACCTTTGTGCCATTTAGGTTAAAATGAAGGAAAATGTGATTGTATTAAGCAGGTGTGCTGTACTGGGTGAAACTCTATAGAGGTATCAAATATGGTAGGCTGAATACTTATACTGTGGGCAGACCATATAGCAAACATGAGCAAGATGAGAAATGCCTACAAAATTTTGGTAAAACAATCTGGAGGGAAGGGACCAATTTGGAGTCATAGGTGTAGATAGGAGGATAATATTAAGATATGTCTTCAATAAATAGGGTAGAGCAGAAGCCAAACAAGCTTGCTGGTGGCCTATGATGTTATTATTATTCAGTGTTCTGTCTTACGACAGGTCCATTGCTCTGCCCAAAAAGAGCTCTCCAGTTTTCCCTATTCTCGGCTTCTCATTTTAATTCCTGGAACGTTTAATTTGGTTTGTATGCCCAACAGTCATAGTGGGGTGAGTAAGTACTGGCCTCTAGTGGCCATCACATTAGTACATAGCCATCTGTCATCGTGTCCCAAACTTCCCAAGCAAGACTTTGTCAAGTCTGAATGAAGTTCTGCACACCTTCCACCATTAAGCTTATTTGATGACTACTCTGTGAGGGTGTAGACTGGAATTGTATGGCTTTGCTTAGGATTCAGTGATGGGCTCTTGTGAATTTCTTGACCAGGTGAGTGACTTTTCTTCTCAAAGATCCTGCTCCATGAAGTTACTTTATACCACAGAAATGTTCACAAAATATAAAGTGCATTAAGAACTTTGTACAGAAAATTTAAATGTGAAGAGAACTTCAGTAATTGTAGATGGTGTGGCCAGGTATGATCCTGTCAATCACTGTGATTCTAAAACTGTCCCAAATTGCTGTGGCCAGTGTGTGATTCACATTCCATAACTTTATCACATGGTTGGCTAGGAACTGAGAAATGTGTAATTATACTAACCATATTAAAATATTGAAGATCAGTGCAGTATTCCAAGATTGCAAATTTAAATATACACAATAAATAAACAAACTAGGTGAAGTACAGAGTTGTGGAAGATGAAGTATGTTTAAAAGGTGAAAACAATATTTAAGAAGTACATATGTTGTAAGTTACAGCAAGATCCCTAGATTTATGAGATCCCCAGGTTGCCTGATCACTAACTGTGAATTGTTAGGCAGGATTCACACCAAAGCAACAAGCAGCAGGTGATAACATGGTAGATGTTGCTCTTAGAAATGGCTTGTAATACAGAATAAAACATTCACACCACAATGATAGCAGCATTACTTTTGAAACTACTGCTCTGTGACAGGTGTAGAAAGCTACTTTTCTATTATATTACCTATTGCTATGGAGGGAGTGTGCTTGTAGTGGCTTTTTGCATCATCCAATTAAATATAAAGATGGCTGATGAATAAAAGAATGTTTAACTTCATGCAAATATACAAAATGTCGTATGCAGTTGTCATTTCATTCACCAGCATTTTCACAAACTAACAATTTGGTTGCTTAAGTATGAATCCTGCCTTATGGCTGGCAGTAATAATTACTCAAGATGATGATAATATGTTTCACCCTAAGTACTGATAAAAGCAATATTTAACTGGCCATAAATTAATTCTTTATATTTTATTAGTTGAATTGCCATTGTCTTCTGGAAGGAGTGGTCAAATGAAAGAGTTTACTGAAATCAAAATGCAGAGTATCTTTATTTTTAATTAAAAGTGCATGTAATTATGTGAGACTGTTGTAAGTCAGAGAGTCAAACTGTAATTGAATAATATTTGAGTTTTTATGCAAACTCTAAGTATGAATCTTTGAGATATTTCACAGGTTTATCAGCACAGAAACAGGAAGTCACTTTGCTGTGAACATTGTTGCCAAGTCAGTGTAAACTATGAATTTGGGAATATTGTTCATCTTGTTCTTTTTCCAAGCACTAATTTCATGACAACTTAATTGTTGGAAATTGCATCTAGTGACTTTCTGCCTTCCCTTACCTGTATAAAAATTAAACTTCACCATTAATATTTGACAGTCATAGTAAATATAGAAGTGCAATGGGAGAATGACTATTGAAGTTTCATTGCATTGAACATATGAATATAATGTGACATGCAGGGGAGTCAATAAAATATCTGTACATCCAAGGTCGGTCTAGTGGTATTGGGATTTTTCTGTCATAATATCTATCAGCTTAAGGTACAACCTGCCTGTTATCAGGAACAGTTCCCCCAAAAAGTCTAATGGTCTTCGAGACAGCTTATAATGCACATGGAGACTTCTTGACAGCTGTTCCACAACATGGTTTTTTTCACTGTGTGAACACTTGTCTTGGTTACTGCTTTGCCTAGTTCGTCACATGTGGTGATGTTAAGACTGCAGCAACAGTGTAATGTGAAGTTTACATATCTGTATTACAGAGGTAACGAAATATTCCCCCCTGGCTCAGATTCATTTCCCACACCTAAACAGATTCTGGATCACATTCTATGGTGTTCTTTGGATTTTTGGGACACTTAAGAATGAACGATATCTCAAGAGATGTTCTTTTGCATGTGGATTGGTTTACTACATTCTTTCTTTTAAATATCCCCACTGACTGAAGATAAAGAGTTCCAGAAATTAAGTTTACATACTGAATTGTGTGGATGCAAAGACTTAATAACTGTGGTTCTGTAAGGTTGTAGTTTCAGTACTTTTGTAGTGGTTCCCACATTTCTTTTAAGGGTATAGTTTCTTGTGCAAAGCATTTAAGAGACTCACCAGGCAAACCCGGAGGCCAAGTTTAAATATCTTCAAATTTTCCTCTATTAATAGGTTACTTTTGGTTTCCTGTCTGTTAACACATCATTTATTCTTGGTTGACATGAATCTGAATTCCCTAAGTATTTTTTTATGTTTGGAAGAATTAATAATGTTGCCTTTACTGCTATATTCATTACATTGTTGTTCTGTTGGAGCTTCCTGTCTGCTGCCTACTCACACTGCATGCCATGACATAATACAAACTTAATCTTTGCTGTTTTTTGTTGTTTGCGTCATATTTCAATATACATTGCCAAGATTAATATAACATTATGTAATTAAATGCTAATGACTTGCTGCAGATACGAGATTACTTTTACATTGTGTTACTTCTTCCCAACAGGTTTAAACCAATTATGAGAGAGCCTTTCATTATTGTGCATTTAGCTTCACAGTGGTATTTGAAGCTACTTTAATTTAGATCTCTGAATATTCCAGTTGAATGAAAGTCTTGAATTTTAATTATTAAAATGTTGCCCTGCTGAATGACACACCATTCTGTAAATAATATGCTGCCAAAATTGTCATTCTGTTGCTCTTTTGACCAATTTTAAAACATCAGAAGGCTAAAAGTTAAGTTGTCTAGAATGTCAGATACCTCAATCCCTTCAAGGATAAAAAGAAGTACAGTGGGACAACAGAGACAAATTTTTTGCTTTTTGTTTCTGACCCACTTATTTCCGGAAATTATTCAGAACTGGTGTACATGTTGGGTTATTGTGGTCACTTTCAAATTTCCAAATGCAATTTTCTGTGAATGCTATTTATTACGATTTTAAATTATTATCATTATGGCAAACCTAGTTCTGACATGGCTACAACATTACTTTTTATTTGTTATAGGAGGATTTTAGTATCACAAAATCATAACATACAACCTCAATGTAAATCCCTGGTAGCAATGTAGAACATTTTACAGTGTCCTTGCTGTTGACCTTATAGAGTTGTGTTAATACAACAGTGTTCACCAAAGATGTATTTTAGGTTTAATGAATATGGAATCTGCATTCTTTACATGATGGGAACCCTTTTCTCAAATATCTTTATCCTTTGTGCTGTAATTTTTAATTTAAAATGTAAATTTCAAAATATCATTGTAAGATGATGATATTACAGATTATATTGGGCTATATCAAGACTGTCTCTGTTTATGGTACAGGATATTCTTTGTAAAGTCAATTGTTATTCAGCTTGTCAAAGAATAGCCCACTTTCTGTATGGAACTGGAAAGTTTATCACCATGTTCACAAAAGCCTGCCACCAGACTCCATCCTGAGCTAGCTGAATCAAGTTCGCTCCATCGATCCCTATCTCCCTAAGGTCCATCTTATCATTTTCCTCCTACCTACACCTAAGTCTTCCCAGCAATCTCCTCCCTTCAGGCCTCCCAACCAATACCCTGTAAACACCCCTCCCCTCTCCCATGCATGAC